TTCAGAGGCTGACAGGATAACGTATGCGTGTTTTGTATTGAAATCTCCAGTTCTAGCTGTGCTGCTGGGAGGGTTGTGCTGTGAGTTTCCTAATTGCTTGTTTCCCTCTCTACTTCTGAGGAGCCAGGAGCTATTAATAGATTGAAATTTGTGAGGTCTGATGTAGCTTCCAGAGGCAAGTGTTTAATAGGCTCATTACCACCATGTATTGCCAAAATGTTCTAGTTCTGGTTCTCTTATAACCATATTGGGGAATGCCCTTGGGACCAATTATGTTTGGTTATTGCTGAGGTTGATTCATCTCAGACTTCAGTTTTCTTTTTCATTTTTTAGTTTATTTTGAGAGAGGGTCTCAATAGACAAGACTGGCCTCTAACTCTTGTGCCTCCTGCCTCAGCCTCCCTAGTCGCTATGTTTACAGGCATGCGTCAGCATAGCCAGGGTCCTTTAACTTTTAAAATCTAGACATGATTGTGGTACTTCTATACATACACATACTATGCCATGATCAATCAGAGTAACATATCTATGACTTTAATACCTCCATTTCCTTGAGACCTTGAAAATCCCCTCTTTTAGCTATTTTGAAACACATTCTAGGTGACTCTGAGCTTAGTCCACCTAGCTAATTGTAACTTTATTGACTGACCTCTGTCCATCCTGCTGTCCCCTCTTTCCCCAGTCTCTGGTAACCACAGATCCATTTTTTGCCTGGACAATGATAGCTTTTAGGCTGCACGTACGACCATATCACCTTTGTCTTTGTTTCTGGCTTTATTTAACATGATGTTCTCCATTTCTATCTATGCTGCAAACAAAACGATTCCATACTTTTTTAATATATTTTTTTAGTCGTAGATGGACACAATATCTTTCTTTTTATGTGGTGCTGAGGATCAAACCCAGGGCCTCAAATATGCGAGGCAGGCGCTCTACCTCTGAGCTATAGCTCCAGCCCCCGATCTCATCCTTTTCAATGGCTGAAGAGTATTCCACTGCATGTGTAGTGCATTTTCTGGATCCTTCCGCCTGCTGACGGACACTTGGGTTGGCTGCATCTCTTGGCTCTTGTGAGCAGTGCTGAGATAGACACGAAGGTGCAGATGTCTCTTTGACAGACTGGTTTCATGTCCAGTGGGATTACTGGGTCATGTGCATTTGTAATTATTTCGAGGACCCTCCATATTGTTTTCCACGGTGCCTTTACTAACTTACATCCTACCAACAACACGTGGGGTCCCTTTCACTGCATCCTTGCCGACACTTGTTCCCCTTTGTCTTTTGGACAGTAGCGGTTCTGACTTCACCCTAGACTCTGGGGCCAAGGAGGCCTTGCTGTCCAGGGAGACAGGAATGAAACCTGGTCTTCACTTCTGAATCTTAAGAATTTTTGAGATTCTTGAAGGCTGTGGATGGGAGAAAGGGTAATTTGGTCTGGGGCCAGTGCCGTCAGCATGGGACAGCATCAGCTTGCCCTGGGTCTCTGGGAAATCCCCTGTAGCTTGATGGGTCTGGGCTTTTCCATCTGTTAAGTGAAGTGCTTGGACTTAAGTCATCTCTGAAAGTCCCCCTCAACACTAGAAGGGTCTGCGATTCTATCAGTGGACCTTTCAGGGGCTTGTCCTCGAAGTCGTGGAAATCCTGTGTTAACTTCTCTCCACACCCGAGAAAAACTGCATCATTTTCAACAATTAGCCAGCGTTCGTCACGGGGGTGAAGGCATTTGAGTGTGAGTCTATTGTACTTATTTTGGAAAGTAAAAGTCACTGTAAAATCCAGGCGGGAGACTCAGAAATGAGTGTTGAATCACTTCCTGATCACGCGTTCAGATTTCCCCACCCCCGTCACCTCCTTCATGAGCGAGGGTGACGGGGAACTTACTCAGGAGCCAGTCTTGTGCATCCGCTCTGAGATGGCTCTGCAGGTGGTGTGGCACACAGAGACCCCGTCCTGGGTGGTTACGAGGTCTGGACACCAAGACGGGCAGGGGTCGCGGAAGAGGGAAGCCCCGGGTGGGCTAGGAGGGGTGTGCTGGTGTAGCAGACTTGGGAACAGGGTCCAAGCTGGCAGTGAGTCACCACCCTGTTCCTGCCAGCTGCTGGGCTGGCGTGGTCACCATGTCGACTCCCGTGACTGATCCTACGGCACTGTCCCTAGCGTCGTCTTCAGTTGGCCAGGCTCGGCTGTGGGGAGAGGTGGTTTTCAGACTTTCCAGGGCTGCCTCGCTAGCGAGGGCAGAGCCGAGACTCGAGTGTGGATCCGATTGTGAACCCTGCCCTTCCTGGGTGTAGACGTGGACTGGGGCAAAGGTGGAAGATGCTGGGAAGAAAGGACACCCGAGACGGGTCTTGGCACTTTGGCGTTGTCACAGTGGAGCTGTTGACCAGGCGGGGATGGCGGGGCTGGGGGCTCAGCGCCCACCCCTGCCCCCCCCCCCGTAGTGGACGGTCTGCTCGGGGTTGAGTCGGCCCTTCTTGCTCGCTCTTTTCCCCCCCTCCCTTCTTCCTTCCTTTGTTAAGATTCCCATGACCTAAAGTGAACTGTTCCAAGGTTCCCGACTTGGTGGCCTTTAGAACATGCACCATGTTGTCCAAGCTCCACTCCCGTCGACTTCCAAATGTCTCCGTCACACTCAAGGCCACCTCGTGCCGTCAAGCAGCCGTGCCCCTTCCCACAGCCGCCGTCCCCACAGGCAGCAGGTTGCCCTCTCTGGTTCCTCTACTCTGGGTATTTTATATAAATGGGATCAACCCTGCGGTTAGTCGGCACGTCTTCCCTCCGCCGGTCACCCCCTGGGATGACGTTGGCCCCCTGCAGGTGACCCACGGACCATCTCCCCATCTCGGTGGTGTTCCTAATTTAATCAAGCCAGCAAGTCCCCTTTTGGTGTGGGAGATGAAGTACCCGTAGGTTTTGGGCGTCAGAACGTGGTCGTCTTGTCCACCACACATACCCTCTTAAATGCCTTTTGGGGGGCCCTCCCGTCATTTTTGACGGACAGCCCAACAGCATTTCCAGGTGGTTCTTTGGTCAGTTTAGGTGGGAGGCAGGAGGCTGGTGAGGGAAAGAAATGAAGGAAATCCAACTGGGTCCTGGGTTTGACCAGAAAGGTAAAGAACCGTGACTCCCAGGGATGGGGTCACCTGCGTCATCTGGGGCCGGAAGCATCCTAGATCCCAACATGCCGCCCCCTCCCCTTAGAGGCACATCCCTAAGGGGCACCATGGAATAGAACTGTCGGTGAGAACCTCGTGTGTTCCTCGCGTGTAGGGGCAGGAGGAGGCATTGGTCTCGGTGATGTGGGGGAATAGAAAGAGCCAGAAGATGCTGGACTTGGTATTGACAAGGCGGGGTGAGCAAGCAGAGTCTGGGGACCTAAGTGACATAAGGGTGCTGTGGCATCGTGGGAAGGGGGAGGGAGCTGAGGAAGAGTGATTTCGCCTAGATCCCTTGGCTTCAGGGTTGTTGGGAGGGGACAGTATGGGAGGTCCTCGGACATGCAAGGAGAGGAGTCGGGTGGGTGGGTCCAGTTTAAAGAGACAGGGGAGACTTCTCTCTCCCTGTCCCCTGGGCAGGCTCTCTTTGATGGGGAACGACCAAGGTTGGACTCTAAAGCCAGCAAGACAGTTCCGGAAGAGGGCTGGATTGGGTGCCCCAGGGAGGGGGTGCCCTCCGTTGTCTGCATTCTTTCTGGGTGTTTTGGAGGCCGATGCAATTTTCTCTGGGTGGCACTAAGACTTGCGGGGAGAATCTGGCTCAGCACCCCTGGTTGAGAACCACTGAAGAGGCTTCACGTGAATGGTGCTGGCAGGAGGAAATTCAGATTGCTGTATGGATTTGCCCTTGGCTGCTGCTGCTGTGGTACCTGGTTCTGTCACTCTGTTATCTTGGAGATGGTGATGCAGGTGTTTTTTTAAGGCAAGGTGTAATTAAGTAATTTTTAGAAACCCATTCAGCAGAGCATTCCACGGGTTGGTGGTGCCAGTTGTACAGCTGCTATGGGAGGCGGGGGTACGCCAGCCATGAAGATGTCACAGCATCTATAAACAGCCACGGTAGTGGCTTTAACTTGATCAGCACTGGAGACCCTTTGAAATTACCTTGCTAGTCCTTCTCGGTTGGCTCCCCAGATCTGTTCCTCATTGCCCACATGAAAAAAAGGAGCCAACTGCCTTAAATTACTTGAGATTCAGTTTCCCCTATCGACAAATAGCAGTAGGGGACAGCATCTACCTCCTGGGGTTTGTTGCCATGATAAGATATCAACATGAGCCTTGGTTTCTGGAAATAGTAGGTGATCAATAAATATTAGTTCCTCGCTTTTTTTTAACAGATAAGGAAATTGATGAGGCCAATATGACATTAATTTACTGCCGGTCTTCAAATATTTCAAAGCTTCACATATCGCAGAGGAAAGGCACCTTCTTTGGTGTGCTCCAGGGAGCAGAAAAACAGAGCTAATAGGGAGCAATGAAAGGGAGACGGATTTCAGTTCCACAGAAGGAAGAACTCGGAATAATTTACAGCTGGATCATGACGCGTTGACGCTCCTGAAGTAATGAGCAATTCGTCTTAGAAGTATTCAATTAGAACAGGATTTCTTGACGTTGTTACTGACATTTGGGGATAAATAATTATTTGTTGGGGACTGAGCTTTGTGCTGTGGCGTGTTTACCAGCACATGTGGCTTCTGTGCCCTAGATATCAGTAACCTCCCCTCCCCTGCCCTCCCAGTGCGGCGACTGGAAATGTCTCTAGACACTGTGAGATGTCTCTTAGAGCCCAACAGCACCCCTGGTTGAGAACCACTGAATAGGCGCACCCTCCCGCATCACCCCTTCTTGCCACATCAAGGCCAGGAGGCTCCTGGGTCAGGGTAGTCCCCACTACCTGGGATTGAAGGCCTAACACACGTGAGATTGGCGGGTTCGGCTGGGGCCAGACGGGCAGGTGAGTTTCGGGGCTGGTTTAACGGCTCATTGCTCATTGTGGTTCTGCAGGTCATGCTAGCAGCCTCCTACTGGTCTCTCCTGGCCCCAGCGGTGGAGATGGCCACGTCCTCTGGGGGCTTTGGGGCCTTCGCCTTCTTCCCGGTGGCCGTGGGTTTCACGCTCGGAGCGGCTTTCGTCTTCCTGGCCGACCTCCTGATGCCTCACCTGGTGAGTACCGTCCTTAGGCGATCGGGTCGGGTGCGTCGAGCTTGGCGCACTAGAGTTATTTCTGTTCCGCCTCGATATACCCCGTGACGCCTCTGCCATGTAGCCCGTGGGGTCGGAACAGATAGCCAGGCCTTGGAGGGGACTGATTGGTGATGTCCTTCTTAGAGAAAATACTCTTGGTAACATGACAAATCACCCCCTTGTGTGCATTTTGGTAGGTTCAGATTTTGAATGTCACTCTGTTAAAAACCGTGGCTGCTGCCGTGCTGTGGCGTGTGTGTGAGATGCATTCACCAGTGGACTTGAACCTGGGAGGAGGAAATTGTCTCTTTGCGGTCCTGGCCCCTGGTGAGCTTGTGATGTCATGAAGGAGATGACGGTACCCCCAGCTATAGCGTTAAGACTTTGGTAACATGTCCCGTAGGGCTCTGGGTCTGGGCTTACCTGTGCCACCCACTGCTCCGTTGTTCCTCCCTGTGATTTGAGGGTATCTCCATGGAGGGATTGTGAGCTCAAATATTTTCCAAAAAATTAAAAATGACGCTGACTATTTTTTTTTTTTTAAAAAATACTTGCTGAAATAGGATTGGTGAGTTGGGCTTGGAAAGGGCTTGCCCTGGCTTGTAGGAGAGCCTGCACTGCTCAGCAGGGGAGCCAAGGCCAGGCCCTGCACCGGGATGGCAGGCCACTGGCTAGAACCCCACAGCCACACGGGTGCTGCCAGTCTAGACGTGGATTCAATAGTCATGTCAGCTAAGCACATGCAGCCTTCTAGATACTGTACCCCAGAAGTCCTAGAGGTGGGCAGAAGGCCCCTGAGCTGGGCCTGCTCACCCAGAAAGAGGTGCAGCAAGAACCCTGGGGGGGGGACGGCGAGGTCAAAGGCTGCCCCTCCTGTCAGACGGTGGAGGGTGAGCGGAGGTGTACCCCAGCAGCCAGGAGGAAGTTCTGTTTCTGGGCCACTGCTTTCTTTCTGGCCTTAAATTCCCAGCCAGAGAAAGAGGAGGCAGAATTCCTAGGAAGTTGACTTCCGGGCCTGGGGCTGATGAAAGCTGATCACTCACATGGCAGAAGGGCTGTCCTCTGGACCAGTCAGTTGGATGTGGTGACGGGATGGACAGCTGCGATGTGTCCCAAGGAAATACCATCTGTCACTTTTTCCTTTGTTTCATCAGAAGCTTGAATGGCAGTGTTTCTGCCCCCTGAACACTTGGCTTCCTTGCCGTTGAGCGTGTCGGGGTGACGGTGGCTTCCCGGGGCCCTCAATGGGAGCTGCCACATTCTGCTAAGTCCGCCCTAGTTACATGTGAACTTGCTGATGGGGTGCATTCTGCTCACCCTGGCGGGAAGATCCTGTAGCCAGTGGCCTCGACTCCTGAACAGTGGGCAGAAGTCTGGCCCAGTGGCCCGGCTCAGCCCCCGCTGGGTGTCTGTCACCTGGGCCCCTGAGGGAGTCTTGTTGGAGGCCATTTGCAGTCATGATGGGTCATTACTACTGGGGCTTGGGGGTGGAGGGCAGAGGTGGCAGTTGGTGTTAGGCATATTTGATCAGCTGTGCGAACAGAGGGGCTTTCTCTGGGCAGTGTAAATAGTCATTGGCCAATTTATACCACACGGGGTACTTTTTTTTAACCTTTTAGTTCATGTTTGTTTAAATATGTTCTTGGAATATGGCTCCTGGGGGAGAGTTCTGGATAGATTATATAGACAATCACGAATGGCTTGGGAGCCGGGGCTGAATGTTGGAAGGAATCCGAAAGGGGCATAATAACCATTAGGGCCCAGAACCTCATTAACTGGCAGAAAGATCAGCTTCCCAGTAAACATCTGTTCTAGGACGTTTGAAAAGAAATTCTCATTGTTAATTCGAGGAGGGGAATTGTCTTAGACGTCTCATAAATAGATAAGGCATTATTTCTAATTGCTACAGTCACTGAATACAAATGTCCAAAGAGTCATGCTCGGCACGGCCTGTTGACCTTCACTCGGAGGCTGGCTGAAGATTTCCCCTGGCGTCACCATTAATTTGCTCACCGAGTCTGAAAAGGGCGGCAGCTTGGTTCTGCAGAAGGTGCTTGGCGGAGTTGACGGGTTTGCTCTGGGTCCTCAGTTGTCTGGCCTCCACCGAGTTGCTCCCACTGGGAGTGTGGGGGGCTGGAATGTGTTGTCAGGTGTTGGCTGATCTTGGAATTGAGGAAGTGGGAAGTTCCATGGGTGAACTCAGTTCAGGATCTTTTCTGTTCCCAGTCGTTCCCCACTGTGGCAGAGTGGATGCCTGTCCTCTCTTGGTGGCCTCCTAACCGTGAAGGAGGTAGCCAGGGAGCCTTCGGCTGCAGCTCTGACTGGGCAGCTCCGGTCCTTCGGAAGAGGCCCGGGGAGGAAGGGAGGCCAGTTTGCAGAGAATTTCGGCCACAGGGAGCATGGCCTTTCTGTTCCCTGGGTCAGTGCTTTGCAGTTTGACAGGAAGTGACTCTGTTCACGTCACCTGGACAGATGGGCAAATGCAGAAAGGTTGGCTGGAGGGATTCTGAGGCAGGGCCCACCTTTGAGCTCTTGCTCGTGGCCACTCTAGCGCAGGGCCCAGTACCTGGGTAATCGGAGCCTCTGGGCCCTGTGTATGGATTCCAGGTTGAAGGGCAGTGATGCAAGGCTGGTGGGAAGGAAATGGTTAATGTGCAACTGCAATCCTTACCTGCAGCTCTGTTCTGTGGCGTTTCCCTGTGGAGCCCAAGCAAAACGCCACTCGTGAAAAGGGTTTCACGCACCCCAGCCTGTCAGGTTGAAGCCACTGTGGTTTGTTACCTTCAGATGCGTCAAGCTGCTCTCCAAACTGGGCTTTTACAAAAGTCCATTATTTATCTGGGAAGGGAGGAGAGGGTGCTTCTGCAGTCGCTGCTACTGGGGCATGAGCAGGCAGGGATCTCTGGAGGGGTTGCCAAGTGGTGGCGCTGTGGGAGGGGGAGGAGGCAGGAGCAGGCAGCTGCCCCTGCCAGGCCTGGGTGGCAAGTGTGGCTGGGGCCAGCCGGAGCCCAGTGTTCCCCTTAGGATGGCCTCAGGGAGAGACTGGACATCGAGCCGCCATTTGGGGATGTGGACATTTTTACCATCTTTGCAGTTTTGCTTCTGTGTTAAGTTCAAGGGCAACAGTAGGGGGGAAGTCGCACCTTCAGCTTAAAGTAGTGATTTTTCCCACAAACTGGAGGAAAGATGTGTCTTCAAGGCCTTGGGTCTTTCTTTTTAGCTATATTGGTATCACTCAAAAAAAAAATCTCGTTATAAAAAATGTTTGAAACAATTTTATGTGAAAAATCCCTCTTGTTCCATCCCCCCCTCCCCGGACCAACCAGTCGACCCGATTTACTTGTATTGTTCAAACTGTGAATCAACTTTACGGCCACAGGAACCTGGCCCTTCTGGACCCCCTCCTCTGCTGCATTCCTGTGCATGCGCACATTTATGCCCAGTTGCTCCTCCTTCGTCTCTCTTGTGTTAGTTTAAAACATTAAGCTGTCTTTACGTGCATTCGTTTTAGTGTCTGTGCAGCCTGCTGTCATCTTGCTGTCATTTGGTCCAGTGTCTCTGTTTCGAGTGGCTCGATTGTCCTGTGCTCAGATATACATATGTACATCTGAAAGTGGAATTTCGTTTTCTGAAAAAACAGACGGCAGCCTGCATCTGTTGGTACTATTTGCTTTCTCGGCTTCTTCTGTCTTCCTACCTTGGCAGCCTCTTCCTGGGAAGCCAGTGCTCCCCTTGCCTCCCTTCTCTTGGCATTGGACATCTCCGAAGGCTGCCTGAGAGGTAGCAGCGGGCCTGTGGCTGACCGAGAGGACCTGGCCCTTAGTCCTGCCTGGACAGGCTCCTGGGGCAAGGGGATTAGCAAGGCTCTGCCTCGTCCCCTGCCTCCTCCAGTTACCTGGGTCCCCAGGCATGTTCTGTGTGTGTGTCTCGTGTGACAGCCAGGAAGGTGCCTCCGCTGCAAACCTGAAGGAACAGCGTGTGCCCACACTTGTGATACGCCCCAGCCTGTGTCAATATTTGACCTGCTGGAGCTCCTTTGAGGAGCCACGTACAACAGCTACCTGGAGAGACAGATGTGGCAAGAGGCGATTTTTTTTTTTTTCCCCCTCATGGGTGGGGTGTTTGCATGTATTCCTCTTCTCCATAGGTTTTCTCTATCTTTAATGAAAGAATATGTGAGAGGGGAAGGGGAGGGATTGAGGAAGAGAGAATGGCAAGTAGAAGCTACAGGGAAGGAGGGGGTCATGGGGCGATAGGTGCCCCTGGCATTGTTGGGGAGTGACATTTGGCCTTGCTCACCAGTTTCAGTGTCTTCCTCTCAGTTGGGTTTTGTTGAGGTAGTGCTGCACACTCTGCTTCACACTGTGAGCTGCACTCGGGGCTTGCTGTGGCATTCTGCTGGGCCGGTTGGAGCCTCAGCAATAGCAGGTTCTTCTAGGTGGTGACATGGTTGTGTCATCAGAAGAGGGTGGTGGGTGGGGGCAGATCGGGCAGTTGCAGGGCAAAGAAGGCTGTGGTTTTGCAGTTGGACCTCTTGCTTAGCTATCTGCACATCTGTGTTGATGGGCTCAGGCTGCCAGCCTGTGTGTGGCAAAGTAGAGTGGCTTCAACAGCAGCTGTCTTTCCTCACACTTCTGGAGGTGGGAAGTCCAAGATCCAGCACTGGCAGGCAGGGCTGTTGTTCTGAGGACTTTCTCCTTGTTGGCAGATGGCCACCTTCTCTGTCCTCACGTGACCTTCCTCTATCTTTTTGTCATTTCTTGTTAGGGGGACCCGGGTCGACTGGACCAGGGCCTTTGCTAGCAGCACCATTTTGCCTTCATCACCTCCTCCAAGTCGTGGTCTCCAAATACAGTGACTTGCTGAGGTACTGGTGGCCAGAGCCCTGACATGAAATGGAGACATAACTCCACCTAAGAGAAGGGCTTTGCAGTTTCTTTTAACACTTATGGTACCACAATCAAGATGACTGGAAAGAA